AGCCCCACATGTGATCATTGGCCAAGCTGGCACAATTAACCCAGCCTTCTTCTGGCGTGCCTGAAAGTAGGTTTGAAACACCAGTACATTTTTGGCTACTATTCAAGGATGTAACTCTTGTTACCACACATTAAACTACAAACAAAATTTGTTGGTCAAATGTGTCATTGTATATGGATATTTTTATAACAATGAAGAGATTTTTTTTTTAAGGCTAAAACATAAATCAGGATATTTTCCAACAGAAATAAATATGGGTGAAATTAGTGACACCGGAACTAGAGCGTGCTTGCAAGAAATGGTGAAAGAAGTTTAGAGGAAAGAAAAATATAGGGATCAAAAACTCATATGCATAAGAAAAGGGAGAGTATGAAAGAATGAATAAATAAATCCCATACAAAATCTTTTTCTCCTTCTTAAATGATCTAAAATTAAGACTTCGTTCAGAATTACAGTAGCAAAATTCTATGATCTCCACTCACCCATATATGGTCAAAAGACCCCAGTTCTCTTTAAAACTCACCATAGTTCCTTGCTCCACCTCTCAGAAGTCTGGGGAAATGCTGCCTCCAAGCCCAGGAAGCCGCCCGGGCACAGGGATGGGAGTGGACGTGGGCACCCAGCAGAAGGAAAGCAGACGAATGGGCCTTCTCCACACCCCAGTCAGAGCAGCTGACAGCCTTCCCGGTGCTTTCAGGATGTGCAGGACGGTCAGGTCCAGGACCCCAGATGACCTCACTGCATGCCACCTGAGACCTGGGGAAGGGTGGGGGAGGAGACAGTATTGAGTAAGAAGAGAGGGGCAGGTGTCGAGCTTCCTCCCCAGCTGAGGGTAATGCTCTACCCTGAGCGTGTTGGTGGCTCAGGTTCCAGAGCACAGCACACACCTGTGATCTTCATGCAGCTCTGCGGCCTCTTCTTTACGGTAATGAGATGGAGGCACTGACTGATCCTGGGGCAGCAGGGAGACTCGAACCTGATTCCCTTCAGGTAGTGAGGGGTGCAATGATGAAGCTGTGGGTTCACCTATGTAACTTTGTTCCACATAGAGCAACAATCATTGACTTCAACACTTTTGAGTGAATTCACCACAGTTCATTCGTTTGTACTTATGTGCCTTAAAATCCTTCTGGTGTACTTTCCAAAATGATGTGAAATGAACATTTACAGCCCTGTATTATGTGATTGGTAGTTATTTTGTTGAGTTGGAAATTAGCAATCCTTTCTTATCATTGAATAGTTTTCTTCTCAAACCATGGCACCAGCAGAAGCTAAGCTGTGTCTATTTTATAAGAAACCAATCAGCAAACCAGTCATGGAATCATTCAGTTATCTCTGAGCTCCCACCGACTGCCTCAGCTCCCATTACTTTGCACCTTGCTTCTATTCAACCTGACTCCCACCATCTCATTAGTCTCAGTGTAAATGCTCCCTCCTCTACCACAATCTTTACACAGGGTATTTGTGTGTGTGTGTGTGTGTGTGTGCCTAATAACTATCTTTCCTTTTTAAAAAAAAAAAAA